CACGACGCTCCGTCATCACCGGCGCCATCCAGGCGTTGGAGACGGGTGACAGGCGTGTTGGTCTGCAGGTTGAACCATCCGCCTTCGCCTGCAGACTGCTGCTGCCCTCCTCCAAACTTCGAGATGAGGTCCTCAAACACCCATGCGACAAGTTTGTACGGCCAGCAACTCGCCGCGTTCTCCTGCACGACGGCGCCCGCGGCTCCTGGCACCCGTAGCGTCTTCAGCTCTTCCGCATCAGTGACGAGGCGTACGGCAGTCTTGAGGTGAGGTGGGAGGACAGCGATGGCATCGGCGGCCTTGGCGACGAGGTCCGCGGTGAGAAGGGCATGAACGCCGCGGAGGGAGACCCAGTCGCAGGGGATGGCGTTGGCGGCGACGAGGTCGCGGAGGTATCTGTACGTCTGCAGCTCAAAGTCTGCTATGGCGGTGGAGGGACCATATACTACCGGCTGGCAGTGGCCACCGTTCTGGTAGGGGTGTCAGTGGTGGCCTTATCGTGAAGGTGGTTGTGAGATGACACGATGAGGGGTCGAGATAAGCTATCGGAGCCCATCACCATCAACCTTGGCTGAGCACTTGCCAGACTTCGACTTCCCTCATTTCACTTCGTGATACGACAGAAAGTATTAAAAGACTCACTCGTCCAGTGGCTCCCCAGCAGACCTCCCTGGCCTCAACCAACAACACGTTTCTACCCGCCCCGCCACTCCCCTCCTTCAGCTCTTTGGCGGCGAAAGCGCCCGTGATACCGCTGCCGACGACGACCACATCCGCGGTCGGAGGTAAGCTCTTAGTCGTGCGGTGGCCCAGGAGCGCTTCGGAAGGCTCGCGGTGCCAGTATGAGCGGGTGCTCTTAGTCGAGGGGAGATCGGCCTGGCCCTCCCGCAGCGTTGCGCCCGTCATGGTGTCGGATGAGGAGTTGCTTTCTGAAGGTGATGACAAGGCTTGATGATTCAGGGTACAGAGTTTAGACAAAGTGACTCGATTTCTGCTGTTTAAATACGCTGTAAGTGGGACTTTTGTGATGTTGGCCGCGTGGACGGTTGAGTCATGTGTTGAAGGATTGACGTTTGGTTGATGGCTGGCGCGCCAGTGGACGGACATGTGAGGTTAAGTCCAACTACCACCACCTGCACCGATGGAGCAAGTCCAACAGAGACATCACCAATCCACGTTGCAGAACGCGTCACTTTTGGCAGACCCACAAGAAACGGGTGTCGCACATCAGCAAGACTTTTGAGAACGATTCTGATTGACATTATGCCCAACTTTTGTACCAATTTTTGGAAAGAAAACGCCACTGTCTATGGGTGCCATCCATCCATTCATTGATTACCCGGAGCGTCGCAACCTCGAGGCTGCACCGCACACTGCTGGCATGATCACATCTAAAAGCCAAGAGTACGCTAAAGGACGTAAATAGCGTAGAAGAATATTTCTCCAACTCTTGCTGTCCACGACTGAACTCGCTTAACCCTGCATCTTTCTTCTCTTTCCGACCTGGGCGGAGAAACCGGTCTTGATGGCAGTGACGGAACGTCTCGAACCGCAAGAGTTGCAGGTAATGAAGTACAGACGGTTCTCTCCCTTGGACAGCTCGGTGTCCGCAGATTTGCAGGTCTTGCAGGTGACGTACTCAACTGTGGAGGAAGTTGGTCAGCTTCCGCGTAAGACGCACAAAAGAGGCAAACTCACTGATGTACTTGCGCAACACGTTCTCGAGCTGCTTCTGCTGGAAACGACCCTTAATAACAAGACGTCTGCTTCCGTCAACGGAACCACTGGTACCCAACTCAGCAAACAGGTAGGCGGTCACGTGCTCCTCCGTTCTCTTCATGCGCTTGCAGATCTCGGCAATGTTGGCGAAGATGGTCTTCTTGTTGCCTTCACGCATGCACTGCGGGGGAGGGATCTTGTAGCTCTTGGAGCCGCTCAAAGCGTGGTCGGGGTTCTTCTGGGAGAGCTGGTGGAAGAAGCGGTTGAGCAGCAAGCTGTAGCTGAGGGCCTTGGTCTCGTCGTGCTGCCAGATGCCGGTGCCGGCGTCCATGTCACCCTCGTCAGCATCGCCAGCGGCGGGAGCCTCACCAGCTTCGCCCTCCTTGCCCTCGAGGTCCAAGGCCTTGAGCTTGGCGGCGAAGTCGTCCTCCTCGCCCTCCTTGGGAACCTTCTTCTTCTTCTTCTTCTTCAGGGTCAGGTCCAGACCACCGTCCTCGCCGGCGGGGGCCTCCTCGGCATCATCGCCCTCCTTGGCGACCTTCTTCTTCTTCTTCTTCTTCATGGTAAGGTCGAGGCCACCATCTTCGGTGGCATCGGGGACGGGGGTGGTCGCATCCTCGGCTCCGGCTTGAGAAGGGGCATCAGTATTGAAAGATTCAAGTGCTGCAGAAAGCGGCGGCGTACGAGGCGTGTGCGACTGGGCTGTCTCCTTGGGTTCGTCGGTAGCGTTGACCATTGTGACTGAGCCGTCGGCGTCGACTACTATTTGTTCGGTATCGAAAGCGACGGATTTCCGCTGTTTGCGCTCGGGGAGAGGAGATGCCTGCGAAAATTGAATGTTAGATGTCAAAGAGGACGAGCAGAAATTTCGGAGATGAGCAGAGAATTAATCGGGGAGGAACAACGTCTTGGGTGGTGATGATATGATCGGTTTTATGGCGTCGAATTTGAGTCACGAAAAATGTCCTGTCTGTCCAGACCGTCTCTGATTCTGGTTGGGCAGTGGGGTAAAAGACGAATAAGTTCTGGTGGAGGGGCCAATGGTGGTGGTGGGCAGTGGCAGAAGTGCGCCGTGCGCAGGGTGTAGGAGGGGAGGGCTAAAGAGAGGTGCGGTGCGTTACGGTAAGCAACGGAGGAAACTTACTTCGACGTCCGCCATGATTGCGGCCTGTGTCTCACTGAACGGGGTTCTCGGTTAGGTATCCTTGGTAAATGCTTCTAGCACAGTGGTCCGGGGGGTGGTGGTTGAACAAGCGCTGATGGTCGGAAGGGTCGACAAAACAAGAACCTGGTGACCTGGGATATGGCGTCGAGTCGGTTTGTGCCGTTCGAAATTGGTTCGGTAATGGAAATTTGTGAGAGGGAAAGGAGAATTGCCTCGACTGCAGGTGGACGGGATTTCAAGGTGACGTGAGGGTGCTGGTCACTGGTCCAAAGTGGGAGACAAACCCCCCTCCTCCCCCTCCAGTCACAGTGTCCGCCAGCTGTTGCGGTGCCCAGCGCCCGTCCGCAGTCACCCTTTGCAGCCTGTGACTCAGCGGTACATACGGTCATGTGACCTTGACGTCTGGTGTCCGACCGTTTCGATGGCGAAATTTGTACGGTAACCGCACTGGTCTCAAGCGTATATTCAGTCATGTCTGGCACAGATTGACTCTGCATGTTTATCTTCTGACGCAGATTCATATCGACGTCTCCATGAGTCGAATGCGAAAATTCGAATCAATAAAAAGAAGCGAAGTAGAAAGACTCAACCGTAACCGAAGCAGTGACTGACGATTCGGTATCCAGTCCTGAGGCTATTCCGTCAGCACCTCATGGAATTGCAGCCGGCCCCGCTTCACAGCATCCCCAGCCAATAAAAAAACGAAATCGTCAACACCTGCTGGCGGCCGTCCCGTTGCCGTTTCTGGTTGGGGAACGGGGGATCAGAGAGCTCCAGGCGTCCGCACCTCCACAGCTGCACTGGCATCATCGGAGGCATCGCGGTCCCTTGATTCAACCTCCCGCGAAGCGCCCACCTTGTAGATCGTCTCGTGTTCGATCTCCTTGACACGCATGCAGGATTGAGCCTGCCCTGCGACTCAATCGGCGTTGAACCCGAATCATTGATAGGCTCACCTGCCACTACCGCGTCTTGCCGCCTCGAAGCTCCAACAGCCGAGCGCCGAACAAACGTCCGACGTCCTATCTGCCCGCCATACCTCTCTCTCTCTCCGGCATGATGCAGTCCACCGATTCCTTCGTCATCCACGACGACATCTCGCCCTCCTCTGACCTCGACGAGATCGATTCGCTGCCGTCAATATCTAGTAGTGTGCTCGACTCCGAAGACGACTCGGATGCGCAGGAGGAATGGGAGCGCAGCTTGGAGCAGATCCAGCTCCTGCTGACCATGGTCATCGTGCCGTTCGCCGGAAAGTACCTGGGTCGCAAATTTGCGTACTGGAGTGAGCTTCCCTAGAACGTGACGCTGGTCCTGCAGATGCTAACCCTGCTGGCACAGGTTGGTCAAGATATATGGAATGGATGCACAGCGTCGAGGTGCGGTGGACAAACAAGGGCGCCTTCAAAGCTGCTGGTGTCGCTGAGGCTGCGGCTGCTTTATAAGGAGCATGATAGTGGTTTTGATAAGTAACTTCGCAAGAGACGCTACGGAGTCCAGAAGTTGGTGTTGTGGCCCAAGGCGGCGGTTGTATACATTTGGATGGCGTTGAGGCCCGCTGTGATAGATCAAGGCGGCACATACAGAAGCAAGGCACAAGACCTCGCTATGAAGATTTGCAATTCAATGATTTCCAAGTTCAATGATGAATTGCTCGCAGGGGCGGAGTCCTTCGAGAGTTACATCCCCGCGGGCCACATCCTGTCACGAGGGTCTACTTGACAACATCGCTCTTGCACGCCGTCACACATGGAACTGATGAAAGAAAACTCGCATTCATTGGTATCAATCATTGTGATTCTGCTACACAAGAGGGTGCTAAGCAGCCTTGCGACTGTTCCCAGAGCACCGTGGCACTTGGCCCCGCCGTATCCATAACCATATATCCATGTCATCCCATAACCCATATCCGGTCATTCATTACTACTATATGCCATCGTGAAAGGTAACATAAAAACAACAGCATGCCGCCAACGCCGTCAGAACCCAACAGCTATTCAAGGACCAGTCGTGAATGCCGTATGTATGACCCAGTGGCCGCACCCAAAGAACAAAAAGTCGGGTGATTGTTTTTCAAAAGCGTGTATCTTGTATGGTGTATGTTGTCGGCGAAGCTTTAGGCTCCAACCTGAGCCATAGAGGGCCGAGAGCTGCGAATAGAGCCACCACCGCCACGACGGAAGTCCATGAAGGTAAAGAACGCTCCGGCACAAAAGCTGGCGAACAAAAACCACATGAAGACAGTGCTCGCTTGGATCTCGCGGCAGCGCTTCTCGTCGTCAGCGGAGCCCCAGACGATATAGTCGCTTGGGTGGTCGCGACCGTCGAGCGTGCCGCAGTTGACGACACGCAGTTTGGCGGACAAAACAATGCTGTCAATGAAGGTGAAGAGCAAGGCCGCACCGTCGAGAGCCAACATGACCAGGGGAATGGCGATGCCGGTGATGAACGATGTGGCCAGGCCGTAAAGAGCAGCCAACCAACAGATAACAGCAACGAACATTGTGAAGTTGATCGCAGCCATGGCAGACCCAGCACCGTTAATGTTCAGGGCGATGACATTGCCGATCAATGCTGTAACGAGCAGGACCCAGAGGACCTGAACGCCTCGAATGGCGACCTTGAAGACTGATTCCATCATGTTGGATAAGTGTTGGACCGCGTCCGGTAACTTGGATGATCGGGGTCGATGGGTTACTGGTGAGTTGGGTGCTAGGAGCAAGAGCTACTAGAGTTGTGTAGAATGACGTTGTCGTCGAGGGTTGTATGCGTGTGTAATTTGAAGTTGGGAGTAGTGGCGTGACTGGCGTCTGACGATGAGTGCTCACGGGATGATTTGCAAAAACAAGCAATTGTTCATTGACTATGTCTGTGTGTGATGTGGATGAAGACAAGAAGTCAGTAGACGTGGAGCAAGATCTGGCAGGGTGGGCGTGGAACAAATAAGACTTGTCTGGGTTGTTCAGGCTGGTTGTCGGGTGAGTAGAGTCGCGGTGGAAGGAAGCGGCAGGAGGCAAGGGTATCTTTAATAACTGAGAAGGGGCGGGAAGGAAAGGCAAGGGCGGGATGGAATGGACTCGACGAGTCGGCCGAGGAGGGGGCTACCTCCCAGAGCCGGACACCACCAAATCCCAGTCAGATCTAGCACTCATGGATGGATGCACTTCACTGACTGACAGAGGTGCAGAGTCGCCCGACATGGGAAGAGAACCTTAGGGAGGGCACGGAGGGCCGGGACCTGACATGGACGGTGGACGCGCGGGAGCTGCACAGGCGCAGGCGTGACGGGTGAGAAGTTCGATGATTTCCATGGCGATCGGCAGTTGCGGGAACTATGACCTCACCAGCCAATACCTCTGCTCAGAGCGCGCTTCTCTAATTTTTTATTTGCCTCGCAAGCTCGCAGGCGGCATTCTCTGCGCCCATCTTGGGTACGTACCGTGTCCACGTCTGGCCGAGCGCTCCCGCAGGCCCTAAGAGACGCCCCAAGACGTCCAATGGCATCATCCAAGGGTCCTAGAAGCCGCCAAAGCTGCCACTAAGGAGCTTGGACAAGACCGCGTTCAGCCCAACAGATGACTCGCCTGTCCGCGTCCGTCATTCATCTCCTCATTGACTCTCATCTGACTGCCAGATGTCGCTCTGAAACGCAACCCTCCACGACACTTTGAGATCCGAGAAAAATAAAGTCCAAAGACCAGTGGCGCGTGTCTGCTGGCGCGTCTCCCGACGTGGCCGAGAGTTCGAGATCCAGTCCGGTTGTGGCACTGTTTGCAGCTGCAGGGCTCTTCTCTCCGCGGGGACCTCATCCAAAGGTTTTTTGTTATCTTTATTTTTTCAATCGCTTTTTTCTGACCCTGCTGCGGCTTTTGGGCCCTGTCCAAGTTCCCTGCGTGGTGGGGTGATGCTGGTTGGCAGGTGAAGAGCCTCTCAGTCCCCCTCCATCTTCTTGGCCCTGTGTGGCCCTCTTCTTGCCTTCTTTGCCCCACCTTGGCCCTTCCTGCTGGGTTCGAATTGCCCCTCCTTCCACTGCAGCAAATCCCAACCTTCCCGGCGATTCGCTGCCACAAACACAATCTGGCCCAGCAACCCTGGAGGAAACATCCACTGCCACACACCTGCACCCCAGTCACGATCGCCCTCACCCTATCAAACCTTGAGCGCGGAGGTTATCGTGAAACAACGTGAGCCAGCATACCCGCGCCTGCGAATTTGTCGACATCAAACTGACGCATGCAAAACAGACTTCACAGTTGCGATTCATTGAGGCAGGCGGGTAGATTTTGGCTGCGCCCTCAAAGAAAGCTACAAAGAGGCAGCAGCAAAACACCAATCCCATCGCTTCCTCAGCGAGGCGAAACCCTGCAAATATCTCTAAGTGGCTGCAAGTGAGAACAGAGTAAGTACACTGCAGGAGTCCTGCACCTGTTATTTGCGCCCGGATTGTTAACCACGGATGCAGGCCGCGGGCAGCAAGACCCTGGTGGACACAATGGCAGACGACACCGCCCAGTACCCCAGAGCAAGCCTCGGTGGCATTCCGCCTGAGTTGTTCGACCATATCATGTCCTATCTCATGCCCAACATCCCCCCGACTGTTGTCATGAGACCCTTCGAAACCTCCTATGATATTCATACCAGCGCAGCGCAGTATGAAGAGTGGCAGTTGACCCGAGCCGACCTCGTTTCTCTTTATCGAACATCCAAAGGCATATCTCGAGCATCCGAGCCAGCTCTCTTCAAGAATGTTGCTCTTGCGAAGCCCTATCACCTTCGGCGCTTCCTTCGCCTCCTGACCTGTCCAGCCAAGCATGGCCTTGGAAATCATGTCCGAGCCCTCTACCTCCTCGGCGAGTTCCAGCTAGGACCACGAGTTCCTTACTTCCGCCTCTGGCGTCAGCTGTACAACACCAGGACCCTCACAGACCTGGCTATAGTTCTCACATTTATACCCAATGTGGCTGAGTTCTTGATCACCTCTCCCAACGAAAAGTACTTCGAGCTGCTGATACGGACGATGCGACATCAAATGGAGTACACTCATATGATGATTCCTTCCACTAAGACACTCAAGCAACCAGAATCTTACGAACTGAAGCTGCACAACATCGCATGTGAGGGAAAGACACCCCTAACGCTCCACCCCCTTTCCTTCGACTCGCCGTTTAGCTGCGTGCGCACCCTTCGACTCCGTCACGACTTCACTGACACTGATTCTGACATCGCCGGAGACTCGTTGCCTGAAGCTCATCGCCATCATTTTTCTTGCAACATCCCTACTTACCTCTCTCAGCTGCCCAACCTGGAGATCTTCGAGCTTCTTTCCGACGCGCCTTGGTGCTGGAGGCCTATCGACAAGCACAGGGATGACGTGAGTCCGCCGGATTACAGCGACATGCCCCGGATGAAGAAGATTGTCCTGCACCTTTCTTGCATCCAAGAACCAGAGCTAGTCGGCCTTCTGCTGGCGTGTGCTAACCTGCAGGTGCTCACCGCATACTTCTCGAGGAATACCAACCCTCACCAGTTCCGACGTCTTCCTCAAGGTAAAGACTTGAACCAGGCCCTCCGAGGTCTCTCTGGTAGCTTGCGCCACCTGGAGCTTGTCGCCGCTAAACCTGGAAACTACTTGCCATCATACCCAGAACGCTTCGCTGGTCAGAGGCGGAGACTTGACTGCCTTCCTTATCTCACCAATGTGAAGACTCTCGTCGTTGACTTTACAGGCCTGTTCGGACTCTGCGATTTTATCAATGAGAACGACGTGCTCGACCTTTGCAATCGCTTTCCCCCTAACGTCCAAGACTTGACGATCGGGTGCAGATGGCATTCAAACCCCCCGATTCGAATGGCGGTTGACTACGATGACGAGTTGCGGGTTGTCAGTGCTTTGGCAGACTGTTATAACACCACTCTTTTCAAGCTTCGACGACTAACTCTGGATATTCCCACGAGTTGCTCCATTCTGGAGCCGCCCTGTCCACGGATATTCCTTTCACACCCCATGACCCCAATGGTCGCATCACGCCCAGTGGCGTACTTGATGGACTGTGGCATCGACGTCAGCTTCCACAATATTTGGCGCCAGTTCGAGTACCAGGGCCAGATCTTTGAGAACTCTGCAATTGACCAACAGATAGAGCGAGTAAACAATAGGATCACGGAGGAGAACCGGCGCCGCAGGCTCCTTCGGACGGGCGTGAAGGCCCCGTGGTACCTCCCTAAAGAAGACTACGACGCCCTACTGGCCAAGATCATGTTTGGCTAGGGCCGTCGTCCAACAAGGTCGGCGAAGCACGATCAATCGGTATGCCACGTGCGGACCACTGACGCGGGACGCCAAAGAAGTAGCCATGACGTCATCGTCGTGGACTTTTGCTATACACTACTGCGGGAGTGGCCACCTGGGCTTCTCTAGCCTGAAGTTGCGGCCTTTTACCCACTACTAACCACACCAGCTTGATGCTACAATCAGGACCGGGACTTGTGGGTTGGAGGAAAATGGATCATATCGAAAAAACTGGATGCGTCATGATGGCACGAGGATATGACGGACTGTTGGAATACATGTTTGGAGAAGAGGATCGATCGATCATTGGTATTGGCTTTTCATCAGGGAATCACAGGAAAGGACAAAGTCACAGCAACGGGATCTTTTCAGGAGGCCAAAAAGGGACGATTCATTGGCATTGGGTCTCTCCAGAGCTTACACGCAGAGACGAACGGATTTGCATCACGAGAAACAGTGAAGAAAGCTCATGAGTTAGCAAGGAAAACGCCCGCAATATTTGCTGTGTCTGCAATGATAACAATGACCGAGTGACTCTTCTCTGTACTCCTGTTTACTTAACCGTCCTCATTCGTACCTACCCATGCTTTATCTTTCCCCGCAGTTGGAGATCTACCGGCTAAAGTTCAACAAGCCTTCGATATACTTGCGGGTATCGATGCCAATCCCCGACGCAAGACGGCCCGCGCCGTCCCCCCACCCCGTTCCGCCCTCGGCGAAGGACGAGCTCACGCCACGGTAGCCAGCATGGTCGCTGGCTCTGCGGATCAAAAAAATCTCTTTGCTGACCTTGGGAGGTGCCGGCGAAGCCTTCTTGGGCACCAGCGTGTCTGGGCCAGATCCGCTCGTCGGCGAGGAATCGTCAGTCTCTAGCACTTGCTGGCCTTGCTGCCCCTCGTCGACGTCTGATGTCGGTTCGGCGGCCGCCGGGCGTTCGAGAATGCGTGACCAAACCACCCACCACCCACGGTTCGTCTTGCAAGTCCGCTCGAGCTCGTTGATTTCGGACCGTGTGATGTTGAAAAGATTCAGTAGCTGCATGTGCGTGTTCATAGCCTCAACGCGTGACCAAGCCGGTTGCGCGTTCGGGTTAAACATCTGAGTGTAGTCGGGGATGTTGGGTATCGATGAGTGCACCGTCATGGCCTGCGCGTCCCACACAAGGTCGTAGATACTGCCCGTCGCAGAGCCGATACTCGGCCGTTCGGGTCGATATTGGATCGACGACAGAAGAGGCTTGCGAAGGGGCAGGAGCTGGTGGTGCAGGGATCTGTAGAACGAGTTCAAAGCCAACGAGTCGGTCCTCAGCTCAAACAAGAAGGTGAAGATGAAGGGCTTGTTGATGTAAACAA